TCAGATCGATAAAATCAACATGCAACTAACGTTAATGATTTTCACTTGCATACTGTGTATTACTGTAGCGCTTAGCTAGCGTCCTCTCCTCATTCTTCAAAGGACAGCTACGTGACAACAGCAGAAAGTGACAGAGAAAGCGAGCGGAACATAGGAAAATTAGAGCGCTAGCTTTCAATCTGGCAGTAAATGTACAGTGTGGGTCACAGTGTGTCCATTAATTAAAGTCTGTTTGTTGTTTTTCAACTGCTGGAAAAGTGAAGGCACTTAGCTAACATCTCTAGACTGCAGTCTAGAAGCTTTTGGCTGCTAGTTCAAGTTCGTTTCTTGTCATTCATCCACATACCGAGTACATAAACAAACAAAATGCTGTTTCTCAAGGCCCATGGTGCCCAATACAAGATCACAATATGAACTTACAGGACAAGACACAAACATGTAACTAGACAAGACATAAAAAAGAGTAGCTCTATTTAGGCGGAGTGAACGTGGTTTGGCTGGAGCATTGTAAAGTGCGTAGTTCAACCCGTATCTGAATCTATACTAATAATAGCAGCATCAGAAATGAAAATAGCAGCAGCAGAGGTCAGCAATAATAATAATTCTATGTAACGCTAGCTACATTTATATGAAGTAACATTAAATAACTGCTTTTCAACTACCCACTTAGTTGGATTGTTACAAATACTTTGCGTTAAAATTACCAAGTAGTCACATAATGAGAAAAATACATCTTTATCCTATTCGTTTTACAATCGCATCGTAGCCCTCATATTGTAATGAGGTGTCCAGAGATTCCCATCCCTAGAAGTGACGTATCGTGATATCGAATCGAAGACAGGATATTTGTAATCGAATCGAATTGTTGAGACCAGTGAAGATGCACACCCCTACTGTCAGTACCTCGGTACTGTATTCTCTGTCATCAAACTGGCCTTTGTCTGTGTGACAGTCTGTCTGTGTGCTGTGTTAGGTCTAGGTCCTGCTGTGTTAACAGGGTGGCTGCTGAGTCCGGCTCCGTTGTCTGCTTGCCTGGCTCTGGTTCTGGTTGCCATTCTGGACTCAGTCAGCTACTAGGACTGCTAAAGTTAGCTGCATGTCAAACTGACCTAACTAGCTAAAGACAGTTAGCAGTAGTCATTACCGGATATGTGTTATGTATGAGTATGAATTCAACAGGTTGAGTGTAGTCTCAATTCTTAAACACTGTACCTTTATACTGACTCACACTGAACCCACTGCACTAATTCATATTTTATGTAAAAATATTTTAGTTGGTGGAGACCAAAACAGAGCTAAAAGGAGTCATATTAATTTTCAGGTTGTTTCACTGCCCCAAAGTGGCACAAAAAATACAGTACTTACTGTATAGTTGTCTGGATTACTTGTCAAGCTTGCTTCTGCTGCTGAGCTTCAGGCATGATACATTTCTCTTCCCTCTTCTTATCTAGATTGTCTAATCTCTCCTTTTGGTACTATTGCAATGTCCTGTGGCTTCACTACTGAATTTGATTCTTATTAGCAGAGTTGAGGAGGCACTCGTCTGGGTCAGTTAAATGCCCTGGGTATATCATAAGACAACATTTATCCAATATAATTCATAACTTTACTTATCCCTATAAGGGCTATTGTATGCAGCAGATCCCTACCCAGATCAATGGATATACACAGCAGATAGGAAGAAAGAAAAATACTATTAATCACAAAACAAAAAAAGAGATACACAAGTAAATGATGCCATACAAAATAAAACATTTATAGCTATAATGATTTTGAATTAAGTAATGTGCTGCATATTACCTGCAAACATCAATTTGAGTTTAGATTAAGTTACATTTAGTGTCATTAAAAAGACCTGTCAACAATAAGGTAGAAAATTGCAATAAAAACTCCAAGTCTGAGAGGTATTTGCTTTTCAAAGCATCTTTTAGTGGTGTGGAAATTAAGACTAACTCAAAGTGACAGCTGGCACACCTAACTTAAGCAACAAGGCAAACCTATTGGTTTGATTCTGCCTTGATGCCAGGCCGAGTCCACCACAATCACTGTACAGGGTGATATGTTCTGGCAGCATTCACTCCGAATTGAACTGTGGACCCTACATAAAAAGCAAGGCCTCTCAAACACAGAGCTAATGTCCCCATTCTATTATACTGGTGACTCCCACACTTTGTGCCAGCAAGATGGGATAGTGCATATTGTGCTTCACACGAGTGACACTATAGCCCATTCCTTTTTTAAAGTAGCCTTGCCATAATTTGAGCAAGCACGTGGCAGTGAGGACAAAGACAAAGTGATATCAGAATTGTGATTGATTGATTGATTGAACCTTTTTAAATCATCCACGCCAACTGTGAATGATTTGACCAACCACATCTTCCGACCAAGACAAAAATACTGCAAACCAAATAATGACATATAATAATCATAATCCAATACCTACTACTAAACATCAACTAGATCCAGGACAGTGGGTACCTACACACAATTCCATCAATCATCAATTCTAAATTCATGATGAATTTTTATTCTTACTCTTTTCTCAAAGCATCCATTTCAGATGAGATGAAAAAGGAATATTCCAGCAATAAAGCTTGATTTACATCCCTTTCGCTGTTCCCCCTTCCTTTTTTATTTGATCATTTAGCCAGGATCATATAACTGTATATCAGACACAAATGAAATCAGGTCCCATGCACATTAAGACCATGTCTTTCTGCAGCTAACATCCCCTCCAACCCAACCACCCAGCTCCATAGCAAGCCAAGGGCAGAGTCCCATTCATTTTCAGGCCCATTTCCTCCTATGATTAGGCGATCAATCAATCCCAGCATTCAATCTCATCAGGCAGACGGGATTATCTGCCCATCTTCCCCTCTGCCTCTTTCAACTCACTCCCTCCCACACACACAGCAGCACATTAACATCAGATCAAGTATCACCCAACACAGGCAGTCTACCACATCCTCTGACCACAAACAGACAGCTTCTCATTTTAGTCATCTCTCACTCATCCATTACATCTCCTCCAACTGGCTGTGCTCAGAAATACAAACCCATTCTTATCATCTTTTGTATGGGTGCAAAGATTTCAGAAATCGTCCCATAATAATAATAATAATAATAATTAATGTACAATTTTTCACAAGAAGGAATTGTACTACTCACCAACCCTTGGTCATTAAGAAACAGGTAAGAGATAGTAAAAAAGCACAATATGCCAATATTACATCTATTGTAAATGAGCCTACACTGCCTCATTTAATGATTACTATGGCCCATAAATTAAAAAGTGCCCTGCAGGGTTTTCATGCAACTTGACAAAAATTCAGTTTTACTCACCAAAAGATATCTCCCTCAAGGATTAACAAATCTGTTGAATGTACTTCTTTCCCCATAAAATCTTTTTGAAGACTTTTAAATTCTGCATTGTTTTTCATGTTTACTAGCTTGCATCTTCTTCATCTTCCCGCCTTTTGTTGCCGCATTGCTGCGTTTCTTGATGCATGACCGCCACCTGTAGCTCAGTGGAATATTGTGAAACCATTGGCAGAAATACGGACTGCGTCACCCACCTGCATGTATATCCTGGTGCCCATGCATGAGACAAACAACACGGGGACCCAGTCAGAAAAATAAAATAAAAAAACTGTTTTACAGCACTACCAGAAGTAAAACAAAAAAATACTAACAACAAATTTGTAAGAACAAATATATAACACGAAATAAATGCTGTGTTGATAAATGTTTAAGTATCTGCGCCATTTACTATGAAACACCTACATTTCAGAAGGTTCACTGTAAGTTGAATAAAGATCACAAGTAAGTAATTAAGGTGTGACAAGTGATATTAGGTTAAATATAAGGCCAAATTGTAGGTGAATCAGCTTTTTGTCCCAAATTACACCATGTGGACAAAGGACCATTCCATGCAACTCTGTTTTAAGTTTACTGGAAAGCACTAATCAGGGGAAGGATATAGCAAATAAGAAAATGCAGCCACCTGTTTGACTGAACACAACATCAAATCCTAAAGCCACTGATATCACACGCAGAGTGGGAAATGCAAGGGATCTGCTCATTTTCATAATTTTGTTATTCTCTAGTGGAGATGAATATGATCAAACATATTGTGAAATGGTGAAGAGAAGACATTAATAAGTAAAAAACTTCGAAACACTAAGAGCACACAGGAAAATGAAATTACTTTTTATGCCATCACTAACATTTAATATTTCGAGATAAGCGCTTGGTAAAAGGGACATTTTCCTTACAACTAAAATATTGAATGAATTCTCCTTAAAGGCAAAAAGCTTTTTGATGTAGAAATGCTAATTATTTAAACAACACTGATGAAACTGTCATGCTTTCACGACACACTACCTTTTAGTAACCATGTGCTAGGTTTACACAGTTTCACGTCTGAAAGGCATCTTTTATTCTCTGCTCATACCACCATGAAGTTAGGCAGCAATACCCCTGAAACAAAATCAAAGCTGGTACAGTCACACTGGCAAAATAACTCTGCAACAACAGTGTCACATTGACTCTGAACAGCACTCATTGCAGGCACAACGCTGCAAACAACACAGAAAGTGCACATAGCTTCTTTTACCATCTCCACCTTCATCCCTTCACCTTTACTCTAAGTGGCAGTGAAATCTGTTTCCTTCCATCTTAGTTAACCTGCAATTTGCAAGTGACGTTGCTAGTCATACATTTCAATATGGTCTGTATTGAGGTTTTTGTTAAAATACAAGTTAATATTAAACTCTTTTTACATTTATGTGTTTGTTGTAATTGTTTGTTGCTCTTGGCAAGCTTAACACCTATATATTTCACCCCTCTTATCAACATAAGCAACAAAGCATCTGTGTTGGTTATTACAATTTCTGGGTTTGCAATTATTTTTCACAAACCCATATCACCCTGTAGTCTAATAAAAACATTTTCTTAATCAACCATGGGTGTAGTAGTGCAGTGTGCCTATGTAATGTTACCTGTGGCGCTCCTCCAGATCTTTCACATCTTTTCACTGAATGAGTGTCAGGGTATCATAAGTTCCTATCAATGCAAACAAGAGTTTCCATTAATATCCCACACATCTGAACATCAAGACAAACAAAAAACATCCCTGAAGCAAATCTGAGAACACACCACATGAACAATTTATCAAAATAATGTGTCCTATTCAAAAGTCAATAGCAGCAATATTGTCAAACTTAGATAGCCATGTAATGCTTAAGAATCTCTCTGTGGGACTCTTAACTGTGCAGAGAAGCTGAATCCACTGCAATAAATGGCTTTCATAACACACCTGAATCCTCCTCAGCCATTGCTCTATACATGTTATTGTTTTTATGTGATAGGACTTACTCCTCAAGCTGCTTAACCCAAGATCTAATTCTTGGTGTGTCCCCTTTACAGGCAACAATTAATCCTAAGCATTGGACTGTTTCACTTATTACACTATAAGCCAATCCACAAACTGAAATTCAGACAGTGAACGTAGGTCTGCTTATGGGCATTTTTTTACTCATGATAAGGAGTCTGATCTAAACTGGCCGCTGGGTTAGGCAGAGTCACTGCTGAGAGGTCTCAACACTGATGTATCTTTATGCACTTATAAACAAGAACAGCTAGAAAAAAAAAAAAAGCTCAGATATGTTCTCCATCTTTAAGCACCTTGGTCAGCTGTCATCTGATTGGACAGCCTGTGAATTGGGTTAAAATTCTAATAATTAGAACTTTTAGCACAGTGGTGAAATGCAAAATCAGAAGTGTTCCCAGTCGCAAGAATCTGCATCACTGATTAGTCCACAGGAACACAATGGCATGCAGATGTCAAAGATGGGGGTATTTTTTATTCCTTTAGTGTGGGTGGCTGGTGATAACTCAGAGAGGGGTAAAGAAGAGGCTGTATGGAAAAAATCAGTTTGGCTATATCGTATCCTCTTGCAGAGCAGCCTTGACCTGCTGGATGATCTTGATAGAACGGCCGTCCATTTAATTCATATGGATACACTAACATCCCCCAGTATGCCTTATCTCAGTGAGGACCTAGTAATATATTTGGGATTGGATTAGAGTGATCCCACAGAGAGAGAGAGAGAGAGAGGATAGTAATGACAGATAGACAGGGAGGTGTGCAGACCATCAGAATTGGGATCATATCAGCTTTTAACCTTGAAAAGTCTAGAACCATCATAAAGAAGCCTGCAAGTTTAGAAAACAAACTTCTGATTTTGTAATATAAATAAATCAATGAATTGTGTATTTATGTAATGACATAGTCAATGTACATATGTGAATGTAATAAAACATTTATATCCAGTGCAACTTTTTGTCCTTGATCATTTAAATATTGGGCCTTTTCAACAACTCACAACAGGAAAACTCCATTTAGATGTCATTTCATGGTTCTTTTCACACCAGACATTTTGACTTGTCATAACAGCTAAAAACACAGGTGTGGTAATGAAGGGTCAGTTCTTTTAAGTGTCCCAGTTAGCCATGCTCTTGAGCCAGCATGCACAATATCAACGCCCCGGAACTTCTCACCTAAATGGAATATGTGTGACATTAGTTAAATGATTAATTACACCTGTGCCTGTTCTGCAATGACATGCCAACACGTCAGTGAAAAAGGTCTATTGTGCAAGCTCGTCGCAAATCGTTATTGTTATTAGTAGCATTTGTGTTTTTCCTGTTGTAAGTCAAGATATCTGCTTACATCACAAATTTTCTTTAGCAAACAACATTGTGCAAGTTAAATTAATCACAAATAACATTAAAATTTAAGAAGCAAGCTGCAGTAATGTCTCACATTTTTGCTGGAATTATAAAATACCTACTTTGCATTGCAAGGTCACGTTAACCACTGTAATGTTATAAGTAAGGTAATGTTAGCTAGATTTCTTATCATAAAATGTGAGTAGTCTAATTATCCCTTGGCGCGCGTGCACACACACACACACATTAATACTGAAACCATGGCTGAAACAGACAAGTTACCTTTGCTGCTGCTCTGATGGTTTAAGGTGAGCCAGTCCCCATTTCAGACTGTACACTTTCAACATTAACTGATCCGTATCTCCTACACTAGCATTAGTAACGTTGGTGGTTTGGTCAGAGTATTTGTGCCAGCCCATAGATTGTCCTTGTTATCAAAGCTAGCCCACTAACATTCTAACAATAGTTCGCTGATTGTAGTATCAACAAGCAGAGGGATGCTCACTCAAAAAGCTAGGCTAGTCACGCTAGCTACATGCTACATTGAAGTCACAGAGCTAGCTAGCTGTCTCACTATCTGCTTTGGTCAAGATAAACACAAGGGCATTATACAAAAACCCGCACTTCGTTTGACAATATTTACACCTCGACCTTAGGTATTTCTTTAATTCAGTGTCTCTAGCTTCACCCAGCATGCACCTGCAGTTGGCCACTCCTTTACATTGTGGGTGTGTTGGATTTGGTCACAACTGACTCACTGAGTGGTTCCTTAAATCAGTAACGTTAAATTAGTTAAGTTAAGCAACATTATGTAAGATTTGTTTGTTTTTTGTGCGATTTGGCGCCCCTACCATTGTGTAATCCACCTTGTCATAAATAAGGAAAGCTGTACAGGTGCATTTGTTAAATGTTAAGTTACATTATGATCAAAAACTACCAAGACACAACTTTGCTAACACAGCCAAACCTCAAGCAAGTTCATTCTCAACTTTACTAATGCACTGTTCCTTTAACTGCTAATGGAGGCCAACCTACCTAATTGGTTATTTAGCCCAATTGCTCTTTGCATCAGGTGATATGATATATAACAGATGCTTTCAAGTTTACATTTTCATCTTAATTTTGTGGAGGAAACTCTGCCGCCCCTGTGAGTGTGTGCCTGGCACTAATGCTGTTACTGTAATCACTAAAGACATATGTAGTGTCACAGTGCAATCATAGAGGTCTCAAATATGAAAGTTATACAGGTTTGCTCCACTTAAATACATTTTAATTCTAGTTAGAATAGAAAATAAGACCAATTCCAATATGAAAATAAATAAATTGAAATAAATGACTTTTGGAGAACAAGTTAAGATGCAGGGAAATATGTTTAACTATATTCAAGATTACATAAGCCACCAAATGACTTAGATGTCAGGAAGATTTTGTGTTCATCATCAGTACAAACCTAAATGCAGAGAAATGTGGCTTTTTGCTAACAATAGACTCTTATGAATTATATTTGCTCTAAACTGCACAGTGTAAGAAATTATTCTCCGGATTACACCAAAAAACAACTATTTGATTGCATCTTTAAAATATTTCTGTTAGATCATGGGGACAATTCCTAGAGATTCAGTGCAAATACTTTGGTTGCTTAATACTCTAATTATTTTGCATTTATTAGCATTTCATTTATAAGCATTAAATAGTAACACATATGACAGTTGATTTTTGTAGTGGAAAGTGAAAAAGAGAATGTGGGTGGATAGCAACACTTTATAGGGGGAATTTGTTGAGCTGACAGCCGGTCTGGGTCAGGATGGACTGTAATCATCACTCAGAGGACAGTTTTCGGAACAGATGGTTTTCTGGGTATGTTGGCTTGGTATCAAGTTTTTTCCGCATTTTATTTGCCCTGGCATCACGCAATGCCTGACTGAGTTTTAGGTTATTTGGTCAATTTGTCATGTCTTGCAGTATATGATGAGAGGACCAATCTCCTGTTTTATCCCTGTAAATCTGGTTTGTTGGCATGCTAACGATTTAACATATATGCTAAATGTTGGTAAGTGTGACAATCACAAGGACATCACAATCTACATCTGAAGGTCTTGTAAGAGAATCTGTAAATAGACAAAACAGAATACATTGTGAGGTAGATATTTTATTGACAGTTAAATCATTAGATGCTGGGTAAGGTGGGAAGTGGGTTTAGCAGCATGGACAACATGTTATTCACAGCTGAAAGAGGAGGAAGCAGAGATGAACTACATGGTGCTTTAATGCAGTGGTGAACTTATACTTTTTTTGAGTTTTTTTGAACAAAACTGTCAAGTATCAAAAGTGGACACCTAATGCTTGTGCAGATTGGCATGCTTTTTTGATAAGATATTTCTGAACACCTTTTTTGGGGAGAGAAGTGTTTTTAATTGATTAAGAGTGGAGATGCTGGCAAATAAGTCGCTATCTTTGACTTATTAAATAGAGACTGAAACACATGAAGCTTTAACAACAGTCTCTGAAGCACAACAAGGGATACATCTAGTTCTAGAAGAAAGGAGGAAAATGTAGAATTTATATATATGGTGATGATGACAGTTTGATTTTAAATTCATTGTGTTTCTGGATAATAATTAATACTGATGGGTGAAATGAAATCATCAGTTTAGTCAGACGATTTTGTGGAAAGGAGTGCACTCCTTGGGGCCGGTGTGAATTATCTGCCCAGTAAAAGTGGCTTTGCAAGGCTGATAATGCAACTATGACTTGGCAACATCTTTGTTACAAACTAAGACTATTAAAAAGATGTCCCATGGCATCTCATTATACCATCAGCTCAGGCCATTTTCTCATTAAGCCTTTAATTAAATTTGAATGATTACAAAAGTACAGAACAGTCAACAGCTACATGACTGCCAGCTACAACTGCATTATGCCAGCAGGCACATGACTTATTATTTTTATTTCTTTATTTCTACATGCTCACAGCTCCCTGGCATGCATGTTTGTCTTCAAAATGTGGAGATTTATTACTGTCTGTATTCCCCTTTTTGTCTCTGTACTCTCGCATTCTCCTGTGTCTTTGAGATGGGTTTGTAAGTCAGATCAATTTCCAATTTTTTGGTTACCTTTATGAGGGTAGAAATATAATATTTTGGCAAACAGTCTAGATTAATAGATCTAGGCCAATTGTATACACTTATGTTGATTTATTAACAAGTACAACTTAACTATTAGTTTAATAAGAAGAGAGATCAGTGTGTGAACTCATTGACCCAATAGGGAAAGAATTGTCAAAATAGAGTTAGAGACCTGGATTCTCTGTTCTTCTCTCTGACTGGATGGATCCTTAAACTGGAAAATTCAGTAAATGATTTATACTCCTGCTTAGGGTCTACGTGTATAGCTACGCTGTAGACAACGCACATAGCCATGCATTTATTCTTGTGTGTCAGTGTCTCCATTATTCTGCAATTACACCCCCAAACGCTAGTTGAAGGTAGTGCTACAGCGTCCACTGTGTGCCGGCCGAGGAGGATAAATTCCGGTTTAGCCCTCTGCTAATGTGAATGGGGGTAAAATTGTATACATGCGGCTGGTATAGCCTTTTCAAATGTTATCAAACGAATGGATCACATTCTGATAGTGAAACGAGTCATTTCGTTCAGGTTGTGACGGTCAAATATACTGATCCACCGTGTTACAGCCGCCGTTTTGGCCTCTAGTAAAAGTCAGTTCAAAGCACAGGGCACTTCCTGTCGGCTTGGAGGCATTGCGGGGCTGCCCAGCTGACCAATCATAGTGCTTAACTCGACGTGTAGTTACATTTTTGAGGAGGTGCAAGTCAGGTGATGGTGTAGGTAACAGCAAAGGCTATGGGGCTACGCAGAGGCTACACCGCCGTTTCGACACAGAAATATAAATCACTTAAGTTAGGTAGTTGGGTAGACATGTTAAAAGTAAGTAATGTCAATGTGACTTTTGGCTGGCCGTTCTTATCTTTTGTAAATGGTCAATGGCTGTGTTTACATAGCATTTTTATCCAGTGTTAGAAAATTTGCCTCTCCTTTTCCCATTCACACACACACCAATGGCAGTGAGCTATCATGCAAGGTGCTGGCCTGACAATCATGAGCAATTTTGGGGTTCAGTGTCTTGCCAAAGGACACTTCGACATGTGGACCGCTCTACCGCCTGAGCCACGGCCATGCCATTTATGTGCTTGTGTGAGCTGAAAATGAAAGGAACAGCGTACAAACATTACAATCACATAATGTAATGTCTTCTGAAGAGGAAGCACAGTAATTAACAATTCAAATAGGAACATACTCAAACTATATATCTTTGAGTGGTTTCAATTGAAATAACCTCAAAATAAAGTTTTATTTAGCATTTTTGGGTGTAGAAGCATTTTGAAAATCATACTAGTTTGGAAAGCCTTGTCTAGATGAATAGATATGGGTGATTCTTGAGATACAAAAGAACCGGCCCTGCTGTCATCCCACCTTGTTCATTGTAAACAATAATTTTTATTTACTGTCATATAAAAGTTACCTTGGAATCTTATTCAAGTACAAGACAGTATGTCAACTTCACTGCCCCAGGACGGAGTGGAATGTCAATGAGCACAGAAGTAGACATTATTCTGCTTTGTTCCTGCCACCAACTTGCACTTAATGAATCTTTACACTGAAAATGTGTTGTGTGGCTTTAGTTAATTGGATAGGTATGCTGAAAGCAAGTAATGTCAAGGTAACATTTGAATGGTTGTGGTTTAAACTGAAGCATCAGAGCGTAAACAGCACAAAACAACTGTGTGCAGCATGTGACATACAATGCAATCAGAGAATGTCATTGGAAATGTACCAATACAGAATCCAAAAAGGGACATATCAGTAATGGGGATAAAACCTTGTACGAGAAGGCAACACTATATACTTTGACAGAGACATTCAAAGTAGTCAGGAGCATGTACACACAAAGACAGTGGCTGTGCAGTAGCGTGGAAAGGCCTTGAAGACACAACTTGCTACAAGAACCTTTTCTGCTGCACTGTGAAGAACTAACAAACTGGCTGATGATCTGACAATCCTTCACTGCTGGTTTGAGAAGCCCAGGCTTAAACCTCGCCCCGGCTCATCTTATCTCACGGCACAACCAACACCAACCAGTGGCAGTCCCTTAAGCCTTTCCTCCCTTCTCATCCTGCAATAAGGATCTGTAAGATGACGTGCCAGAGACAAAAGACCAAGAAAGCACCAGGCCAAGATGAAACCATGTGCTGACCAAATGGTTTCTGTCACACACAGGTCTGCACCGGAGCCAAGGAAGCGGCAGGTGAGGTTGGGGAAATTCACACCCAGCACACATACAGTCAGTGAAGCTCTCGCCAGGTACATGTGCTCCCCTCTTTTCCGTCTATATCAAGAACTAACCTCCAAGGACAAGAAGAAACATTTCTATATATTACATACAGATGAGTTTCACAATGGACCCTGAGGTTTGCAGATGACAATTGTTATCGGCTTCATCTGAGTAGCAGAAAAGTGTGCATGCCGACACGAGGTTGGACACCCCTCTGGTGCAGTAACAATTATTACGATAATAACAACAATAATAATGAACACACTCAAAGCTATGGAGATTACGGTGGACGATAACACCAACCCCCGTTCTTACTTAACACTGTTGGTCATGGACATTATGAATGTCATATCACTTCCCTGTGACAGTAAATGGGACAAGGACATAGACTTCATCTATATCTATAACAAATATATATAATATATTAAAAATGCCAAGCAGAGGATTTCTTCTCAGCTGAGAAACTTCATCCTGCCATAGAGGTGAACAGTAGCAATTACAATCCTGCTTGGATCACCCACCAAATATGACAAAGGCATGTTACAAGGGCAAATCAGGACTGCCCATGCAAACCCTAGGCAAACATTTTGAATTAAGAAATGGGCAGAGAAAATCATCAAAGGCCCCTTGTATCT